CTGAGGGGAGCAGCGGGCGAGACAGGAGAGGACTGCTGTGCCTTGTGGGTAGCTCCCTGCCCTGCTGGGAATCGAACTCTTGCTGCAGTGACTGCGGATAGCTTCATAGATTGTGTCTTAACCTCTTGTGTTACCAGGGAGGCCCCTCAAAGGTATTTTAAAGGCCCATAGATAATCAAGTTTCTTGGCTTAAAGAAGTTAACCTTTGAATTCAGAATTATATGCTTGCAAAAATTGAAGACAAAAACAGCTCCCTTTGTTTTTAAAATGTGTCAGTGGCAGAAAACAGTGACATGAACAGCTGGAAAAGTACTGGATGTGTATCTGTAAATATATTCTGAATGGGAAGGGTGAGGGATGTCATATTTGGATTCAGTTTTTCCGATGACATGATGAAGCTCTACTCCAGTATCTCAGGCAGGAGAGATTAGTAAATTGTCAAGTATCTAGCCTGATTTTCTCCTTCAGATTCTTCTTTGTTCTCCTTTCTATGCTAGAGACCAAGACTCGCCTATTCCTCTTACTGCACGAGAACAGCTTGTGCCCAGTGCCTTTAGTGTATTCATAGTTTTCTTTGAAGGGTGTCTTTTTTGGATCGTAATAAGCCTTCTTTTGGGCTGCAGATTTCATGAAGAACTGAAGGTAAGGCCACGGATTTCAGTGTCCGAAGATACCACTGATCTACCCACCTGTCAGGTTTCCTTTACTTTTTAAGTATGTCCAAAATAATTCTGAGATATTTTCTTCCTGGCCATTGAATCAAGATGAGATGGGTACAGTCAGAATTCATGGCTTGTTTTCAGACTGACCTGAGTGCTACTCAGTGAGCTTCTCCACAGTAGTTATTGTAACCTTCCCAAGCCTCAGTATCCTCATCTTTAAATGGAAATGTCATTTCATCCCTGAAGATGTTGACATGAACATTAAATAAAGTAACACATATGAAAGACATGTTTAGCACAGCACCTGTTAAAAGACAGGAGACTTGTAAATGCTTGCTTTCTTCCTGCCCCACTAGATTTCCCCATATATGAATTGCTTGAGGAATTGGACAAATTTTATTCATTTTTGTGCTAGTTAGATGCTTAGCACAATAGCCAAAAATAGCAGGTATGCAGTAAATGTTTTCTTCAGTGATTGAGTGAATAAATAGATCTGCAAATTGGTGGTCTAAACTGTATTCTTTCTCCTTTTGTTGGGATTCTTGCAAAGAGGCGGATAGCTGATGGCAGGGCCTTTCCCCTACACCTAGGTAGGGACTTCATTGTCACTTGCAACCATTTATTTACCTCAATACTTTGGCTGAATTGAAAACTTTTCTTTATCTACAGTTTGGTTAGTAAGTATCTGATTTAACAACTTCTGAGTTAGCCCTCCCTGAGGGTAAGTCTCAGTGCTATCACTGGTAGGACCTGAGTTCAATCTCTGGCCAGGGAGCTAACCCACATGGCGCAGCAGACCTCTCCTGTCTTGCCTGCTCTTCCCTTAGCACTGTATTTCAGTAAACCTTCCTGTTCTGCTCCCCACTCTGACTCTGGTAAATCCTTTCATACCCCTGCCCTGCCACCTCTGGCCTACACCCCAGTTCTACACACAAGAAACCAACAACTTCTGAGTGTTAAGATAAGCTTGTATGTAAGCTTTATTGTATTCAGTTTTCATAAATGATTTTTAAGAATACAAGAAGAAATGAAACATTCCTAGAATGGCCCATTATCCTGACGTCCTTCAGCTAAAAGTTAAACTATATTATTGGTGTAATTGCAACTCTGACTTATGTCCCAGGAATCTGATTTTTGCTGAGTGTTTCCATTGGTTTGACTCATTTAAACAAAATTTATTGTTAAAATAGAAGTCTTTTTCTGGGCCTCCCATGGTGGCGCAGGCAGTTGAGCTCCGCACTGTGAAGCTGTCTGCAGCCTCTACAGCACCGGTTCGATCTCAGCCAACCGATGAGGGTCCCACATGGCGCAGCAGACCTTTCCTGTTGTACCCGCTGCTCCCCTTGGCAGTGTATTTCATCAGTCTGACTGTTCTGTTCCCCGCTCTGTCTCTGGTGAATCCTCTCACCCTCACGTGGATCTGGCCTGTACCCCGATTCTTGAATAAATAAATAAATCTTTAAAAAAAAATAGAAGTCTTTTTCTATAGTGCTGAAATAATCCAAAACAAGAAAAATGTATTCACTTAAGAAAGTGTGTTTTCACAGTGTAGTAAGACCTTAAATTTACTATGTAAGCTTTTTAAAGGATATATGCTGTTACACCCCCAAATCTGCCAACTTTTAACCTTCATGAGAACTTTAATTTTTTTAAAAGATTTTATTTATTTTTGCATAGGCCAGAGGTAGGGGGAATGAAAGGATTCACCAGAGAGAGTGGGGAACAGAACAGGCAGATTGACTGAAATACACTGCTGAGGGGAGCAGCGGGCGAGACAGGAGAGGTCTGCTGTGCCATGTGGGTTTCTCCCTGGCCGGCTGGGGAGCCAACTCATGCTGCAGAGGCTGTGGATTGCTTCATAGTGCTGTGCTTAACCCCTTGTGCCACCAGGGAGGCCCCAAACTAACTCTTGACTTATTTCCCTGTAACTTTTTAGGGCTGATTAATAACCATTGCATATTGTCAGATTGCCCAATAACAAAAGCATAGTACTTTATTATTCAAAGAGTGTGATTTTATGTAGAAGGCCAGGAAGGGAAAGGAGAATTAGCTGAAAATTAATAAAGTTTTAAAACCAACGGCTCATGAAGGTCCTTGAGAGAATCGTGATTGCCTTCTTGGTGAACCTTCTGGGATGAGGGGCCATTATTTTATTTAAGTTCTCTAAGGGACCATAATCCAAAAAATGTTCTAAGAATGTCTGTGATTAGGAGATTATTGTTTTAGAGAAGTCCTTGACTTTTGGGTGTTTGATTTTAGATAGCCAGCACTTTCAAGCAGGAGAGGCCATGTAGTATAGTGGTGGAGAGCCCACACCTTGAAACTAGAATGCTTGGGATTGTTTCTGAGCTCCGCCACTTCTGTCTAGGCGTCCTCAGTCAGTTCCCTTCCCTGTGTCTCAAATTTTTTTTTTTAAAGATATTTATTTATTTATTTATTTATACAAGCACTGGGTACAATCAGAAGCGCGGGAGGGTGAGAGAATTCAGAGCCAGAGCGGGGAGCAGAGCAGGCAGAAGGACCGAAGTACACTGCTGAGGGGAGCAGCAGGTGGCAGGAGAGGTCTGCGTGCCATGCGGGACCCTCCTCTGTTGGCCGGGGAGCAACCGGGGATCGAACCGGCGCTGCAGAGGCCGCGGGCAGCTTCGCAACCCAGCGCTCAACCGCTGCACCACCGGGGAGGCCCTGTGTCTCAATTTTTTGATCTACAAAGTAGGAATAATAGTATCTCTCAAAGAGGATCATTAGGAGGATTTAATAAATACAAACCATACACAAAGTACATTTGGCACTGAGTATTGACCATTATGCATCTGTACCACTAAACTGACTTGTTATTTGAATTTGAACTGTCATGTGTGAAACCATGAGGATAATTTCCTTCAAGCTTCAGCAGTATCTTCCTTTTGTATATTAGTGCCTGCACAGTTATCTTACTTGCAGTTATTCCTTTATTTCTTAAATTAGTGGAAAAATTGAAGTGTCAGTAATAAGGATGACACTGATGGTGAGCATAACTCTTATAAATCTAATATGACTAAGACAAATCTTTATGCCCAAAGTAGTGAACAATTACCTTCAGTTGTATGCTTTGTGGATTATAATTAACTTATTATTATTATTTTAAGATTTATTTATTTACTACTTATACAAGCACTGGGTACAGTCAGAAGCGTGGGAGGGTGAGAGAATTCACCAGAGCCAGAGCAGGGAGCAGAACAGACAGACTGACAAAGTACACTGCTGAGGGGGGCAGTGGGCGGCAGGAGAGGTCTGCGCACCATGTAGGACCCTCACCCGGTGGCCGGGGATTGAACCAGCACTGCAGAGGCTGCGGGCAGCTTCGCAACCCAGCACTCAACCGCTGCACCACCAGGGAGGACCTTATTATTAATTGCAAATATTAATTACTCAGATATGAAAAAATTAAACTCACAAAACATGCATAAAATACTAGAGCTATTTCATTTACAAATGTGCCCTTCAACAGATGAATAGATAGAGAAGTTGTAGAATATATACTCAATGGATTACTACACAGCTGTGAAGAAAGATGAAATGGTGGCATTTGGGACAAAGTGGATGGGCCTCTAGGTGATTATGTTGAATGAAATAAGTCAAAAGGTGAAAGATATAAATTGGTTTCACTCATCTGTGCAAAGACTCCAAAACATGCATATAAAAGAAGAGTAGGAATAAATCTTGAACTCAATAAAAAGAATATAATGGTTATCAGAGAGAATGGGAGAGGAAGGAAGGAGTAGGGGAGACAGATGGGGTATGGGCACAGCTGGTTTGGTAGAAGGTGAAGAAAACAATTGTGCCCAGAAGTGAGATGCAATTAGGGATCTGTATAATTTAAATGGGGGGTGGGGTGGGGTGGGGTGGGAAGAGTGGGTGGCAATGGCAGGGTTGGGCACCTTTCACCACCACTAAAATGGCAATGACACAAAATTCTTCTATTTGGCTCTATTGTATTCAGTTTTCATAAATAGTTTTTAAGAATACAAGGAGATGCTCTCATGCGTGTTAATACCAGTCTTTCCCCAATCTCCTTTTGAATTGATGTGTTTCTAAAGGTTCTGCTCTTTCCTCCATCCCTGTAAAAAACAACTCAAAGGGGAGATGTATTCTTTTATTACCATATTTTTCTCTCAATTAGATAGGCCCACATGCTTCTAAGACCAAAAAAAAAAAAAAAAAATACATTGCAAAAACTTAACCTTCTATCTCCCTAGCCTTAATGTTTTGGCATTGTTTTCTTAGTAGTTAAATACCACCATACTCTAGTAGCTTCTCTCTCCCTCTTTTAATCGTAAACTTATTTGTTGGTTTCAGGGGTTCAACCAGATGTAGCTTCTCAATCTCTGGGTCAAGAAGTTTTATTAAAAGTTAAAACTGAAATAGAAGAAGAGCTAAAATCCTTGGACAAAGAAATTTCTGAAGGTCTGTTTATTCTTATTTTCTTAGTTAAAGTAAAATTATGTTTGGTGTGATTTACTGTTGGTTAAGGTATCCTTTTTCCTGGGATATTTATTTGTGAAGTTTCCCAACTACATCCAACAGTTAATTATAGCATTAAGTAATAGAGTAAATGATCATGTCATGGTACTTTTTACTGATTTATATTCGGTATCTTTATAATTAATAGCAACATTAAAGGGGAAAAAGTAATCTGCTTTTGTTTTTGCATGCATATATGCTATAGATAGCTGTAATGTTAATGTACATGTAATTTATTCTCTTGTATCTTTTTTTTGAAATTCCATAACATTGGTTTATAATCCTGAATATGATTTAGGGATATAGATTCACATTATGTGTGTTATCAGTGTACATGTAATTTTATAGCCACATATTTTTCACTTAACATTGTACCTCATAAACTTTAAAATAATATCATTGTGCTAACTGCATAAAATCCCATCATAAATATTCACTCAAACATTCCCTTATTGAGGAGAACATTTAGGTTATTGTTTTGCCTCCCATAAAGTAGCACTGCATTGAACAACTTGTCCAATGTTTTTTTTACAGCTTTATAGAGATGTATTTCTCATGTCTTAAAGTTTGCCCATTTAAAGTGCATAGCTTTGGGCCTCCCCCGGTGGCCCAGCGGTTGAGCAACACCGGGGAGGCCCTTGAATAGAAATTTTAAAATAATATAGAAAACTACTTTTGGTCTTTATTTTCCTTCACTAGCATATTTAATTGATTAATGTTCCAGTTCTATTCTAAGCCTTCGTTCATATTCTAATAACAGTACTTATATGTGATAAAATTGGAAAAAGGAAAAAAAGAGCAAGAAAAAGCTGAAATACACACAATGTTAAACCCCATATTATCCAAAATAGATGGTTAAAGTGGATATTGTCGAGCTTGCTCAGACAACAAAATATTTGTAAATTTTAAAGCCATTTGCATCTTTCTTAGAGGCAAACAATTAAAAAAAGTTATACTTGGGCCTCCCCGGTGGTGCAGCAGTTGAGCACTGGGCTGCGAAGCTGCCCGCAGCCTCTGCAGCGCCGGTTTGATCTCTGGCTGCTCCCCGGCCACCAGAGGAGGGTCCCGCATGGCGCGCAGACCTCTCCTGCCGCCCGCTGCTCCCCTCAGCAGTGTACTTCGGTCCTTCTGCCTGCTCTGCTCCCCTCTCTGGCTCTGGTGAATTCTCTCACACACCCCCCCTCCCCCCGCGCTTCTGACTGTACCCAGTGCTTGTATAAATAAATAAATAAACAAACAAATAAATAAATAAATCTTTAAAAAACATAAAAATAAAAAAGTTATACTTAATAGTAAAATTTGCAGCCTTCTAGGAGCTACCTTTAGATTAATACAATAAATATTTTGTGGAGGTTATTGACAACTCCTGGGTGTGGGAATAAACCACTTGCTTTACTGGAATTCTGTGCCCTGTGTCCTGTTGGTACCCTAGAGCAAACAATGATTCTGCTTGCTTTTCCTGCACTTCGGGAAGGACTAAGTCCATATAACATGGAATAACAAAGCAGATGAGAGGCTGAATTTTGAACTAAGGAGGGATAGACTATGATTGCTTCTTACATATGAAAATTAGTAAGTTGAGGGCCTCCCCAGTGGCACAGCGGTTGAGTGCTGGGTTGCGAAGCTGCCCGCGGCCGGCCTCTGCGGCGCCGGTTCGATTCCCGGCTGCTTCCCGGCCACCGGAGGAGGGTCCCACATGGCGCGCAGACCTCTCCTGCCGCCCGCTGCTCCCCTCAGCAGTGTACTTCGGTCCTTCTGCCTGCTCTGCACCCCGCTCTGACTCTGGTGAATTCTCTCACCCTCCCGCGCTTCTGACTGTACCCAGTGCTTGTATAAACCAAAAACCAAACAAACAAATAAATATAAATAAGACATGCCTCTAGAAAATTAAAAAAAAAAAAAAAAAGAAAATTAGTAAGTTGAAAGTTCATTTTAAAAAAGGAATGATAGTATTTGACTCAGCTCAAGGTGGGATAGACACTTTTTAATTTAGGACCTATCAATGTTGGTGTCCAGGACAAATTAATATCCCATGATTATTTGATCTTTTCAAGTGGCTTGAAACTACTGGCTTGTTCTCAAGAGTAGCTGTTTTAATTTCTTGAATTTTTATAGCACAATTTTTGATACTGCTTACTAAATTAGGTTTTTCTTCTGCTCTGTCTTCAGCCTTCACCAGCACAGGCTTTGACCGTCACACTTCTCCAGTATTTAGCCCTGCTAACCCAGAAAGCTCAGTAGAGGACTGCTTGGCTCATCTGGGAGAAAAAGTGTCTCAGGAACTGAAAGAGCCCCTGCATAAAGCCTTGCAAAAGCTCCTCAGCCAGTGAGTTACGTTGCTGAGTGGGGACGTGCGTCTCTAAGTAGTCTCTGGAGCTCGTGCAGCACTGGATTGGTTAATGGATAAGGCTTTGTTCTAGGAGAATGTTATCACTTCTTTTCTCAAAATACTTCTCTTCACTTTTTTCTTTTGCTTTCCTAAAGCGTCCCTATTTATGTTTCCAGTGACAATTTTTGATTGACAAATCAAAATCACATCCAAAGCAGTAATTTAACTGTTCCAGCCTGAATGTGATCATTTGTATTGACTTGTTGAGCAATCAGGTTTCAACAACTGCTTTCACTGACTTGTAACTATAGCTATTTTACTTGTCCTGACCACTTTTACCACCATTTCCTCCAGTGCCAATATGAATATAGTGGCTAGGATTTTATCATTGTTATGTGGCATTAACATTATATCTGTATTTTAAGTATCAGAAATGTTGCTGAACTTTGGGGTTGCATATCTGCCCATGGATCTGCTTCCATATTCTTAAGAGTGAGAACTTCGCTCCTAACTGTGGTCCTGACTGTTAAGTTAAAAACAAGAAACAGACTATAAATTATTTAAAATGTATAAATGCTATTAAAATGGAACCAAGTCATTTATTAAAAAGCATAAAAATTAACTTTCCCTAATTTTTTTGTTAAGACTCATTAGGAATTAGTATGAATTCAAAAAGATACTTGTTTTAATGAAGAGTAACAGTTATCTAAAACAGGATGATGTAAATCAAACAATCATGCTGTATGCCTTAAATTTATACAGTAATGTATGTCAATTATTTTTCAATAAAACTGAAAAAAAAAAAAAGACCAACGAAAAATGAAGACTGTCAAGGATGACTTCATCACACAAATGGCGTGTGAGCACTGTACTAAGGAGTCTTTTGTTCCTTGATCTATACCATAACCAGGTGGAAGAAAGAATACCATGCAAATGGTTTAGCAAGTACAAGGATGTGGACTGTGACACCACATGGTCTGTCCAGAAAATCTGGAATAGTTCTATGTAGTAGTATCAATTATAGTGAAAGTGGCCACATGAAACTGAAATGTACCTTGAAGGGCAATCTAAAGGACATTCCTCCTACCAAACTTAAAGGATTTGTAAACTATCTGATAAAAGGAGGAGAGACCACCAAAGGTATTTAAGTAGGAGTATCAGATTTGAGTTCTACAACTCTGATGGCAGCATTGTATTGGATTGAAGTAGTGAGAGACTGAAGATGTTTAAGAAGTTGATATTAATCAACAGGTCTTGGTAACTTAGTTGGGTCTTTAAAGTAATAAAGAGAAAAGAATAAAAAAAAAAAGAAAGAATCCAAACCAGGATGAGGACTGTTCCTTTACAGGGCTAAGATTAAGATGCCACATTACAGTTGTACAGTGGTAATTCCTTACTCTCCCATAGGCAGTGTTTGTATTTTACCATTTGTTAGAAGGAAGCAGGGTTTAAGGAGAATTCAATGTGTTTTTGCATATTCTGGTGACATGAGCTAGTATAAAAACAGGAAACAGTGAAATGAAAATTGTATTTGTATTTGCTTAACTATAACTGTAGAAAAGTTTACAAATGACTGTGGAGAGATTATGAGTTTCTGGAGATAAAACATCTAAACAGGAAATTTCAGTTTACTGCAGTGGCATCCAAGTGTTCTGTGGGACTTTAGGGGGCCCTGAAAGGTGAGGGATGGGGTGAGTGGGTGGGGCTGGTTCTGGCCTCTCCGATTTTTAAAACCAGGACAGCCATAGTTTCATGTGTTTTACGTTTTGAAGTTTCTTGTGCGATCTGAAGAAATCTGCTTTGCCAAGACAATAAACAAGTAAACAAAAACTTGTAAAAGTTGTTGGGACCGGGAGTAAAGTAACTGAGCAGTATGAGGCATAACTTCTGTTTCCAGCTTTGAAGTGAGCCATTAACTTTGAACAGACCATTTCACTCCAAGTTTCAGTTACTCTGTTAATTTTGACTTTACTGGGATATTATAAGGTCTCTGAATTATGATAATATGTAGTATTTTTTTAGTATTGTTTTTGGAGTTCTTTTCATATTTATAGGAAAAAATTGATATCTTTTCACTGCAAAGTAAATTATATTAAAAAAAATTGCTGTCTTGGATCAATATTTGTTTTTTTCCCCCACAAACCCCAAATACTGATGCAGTTATTTTTCAAATTGGTACCTCTGTTGTATTTCAAAGTCAGACATCTTATGAATACCTTTTTTCTAGAAATTGAAATTGAAAATTGTTAAGCTCTGTTACTAATGCCTGGAAAATAACTCATGGTTGATGAACTAGAGATATCATACAGGTTGATGCATTGTCTATTAAGGTAGAAAATACTTCCTGCTCAACAATTTTGTTAAAGTGGAAATTAATCATCAACTGTTTGTGTAGGTGAGCATCAGCAGTTTCAAAGATTCCCCTCCCCCCAGATCTCTTTTTTCTTTACTCTGTTCAAATAGCTCATTAAGTAGTGCTGGTTATTAAGCTACTTACTTTTCTATGTATTAGATTTTTTGGAATATTTTAATCTGCTGGATCTCTTATGTGCATGTATGTGTGGACATGTAATGTTTCAAATCATGTTTCATTCTGAAGGATGCTAAAGTACTTTTAGCCTGATAGACAAACTACCAATAAGGACTCCTGTGACCCACAGCTGCATCAGACAGTTCAGGAAAGGAAGTGAAGGGACTGGTATACGCAAATAAAACTTCAGGGAGTATATAGGTAGGTAGACTGTATAGTTTTGCTGAAGTTCAAGTTTTCCAACCACCTTGTATTTAGCCCAAGGATTGTAAAAAAATCCCAGACCACTTTAATGGAATATTATCAGGAAAATATATAACATCTCATTCAAAAGGTAATCCTTGGTATCTTATCTCCTTTTAGTATCACTATAGTGTTGTTATATTGACTTGTATAAAAGAATGAAATTTGTGATCAGAATTGTTTTCTGAACTATCTAGACCAGCACTGTCCAGTAATTATAATGCTAATCACATATATGTAAAATTTTCACATGCTAGTCACATATATTAAAATTTTCTAACAGTTACATAAAAAATAAAATAATATAATGATATATTTACCCAATATGTTAAAAATATAGTTTTAACATGTACTCAATATGAAAATGAGATATTTTACTTCTTTTTTGTTGCTAATTATTTTATTTCTGAAATCCAATATGTACATTTACATTTTCAGTTCATCACTAGTCATTACATTTTAATTGGTCCTTAGCCACATGTGGCATCTATATATTATCATGGCATGTATCCAAAGCCTAACTTCAAATAGGACAATGTGGACTTTGGTATCAGATCTAACTGAGTGTGAATTCCTCCGTTGCTGCTTTCCAGCTATTGGGACAGACTGAAAGCTCTTTTGAGCTTGTTTCCTAATATACAAAATGATATATAATATAAAATATAAATATAAAACTATAAAGCCTAACAGTAGGCTACCAATCTCAAATATTAAATATTTAAATTAATCTTAAATATTCGCAGAACAAAGAGGTCACAGACCAGAGTGATCAGAACAGAAAATGCCTTTGGAATGAATTTTAAAATTCCATAAAAGCAAGACTCGTTGTCCCTCTCTTTTACAAATATGTTTATATTTTCCCAAAAAGCGTGGGGATTAAATTTTATTATATCTAATATTTAAGCTATTGAAGCCTTCATGTGTTACTTGCTACCAAGTGTTGTTTTCTTGATATTGTTAATTTATGTCTAGGGTGAAACCAAGGCATAGAATATTAAGTACTTTGAGTCCCTCAATAAATCAGTTGAGTGTTGTCATCACTCAAGGATTTGTTTTTGTTTCCATATCTAGACTAAAACTTACATGGAAATAATCAGAAAAGCTTATCTCTATCCCCTCCAGGATTTTATGTCATAAGACTCTTAGTTAAAAATAGCGCTCCATTCATTGGCCTTGTTTATTCCAACTTCTTATATCTCCTTAATTTGAAGAGTCTTCCAGTGACATATCTTAAAATATTTTAGACTTTTAAAAAGTTTAAATTGTACTTTTAATTTTATTGATGAGATAATTTTTGTTTTTATTTGATTTTATATTAATAAGTGTGTGTTTATTTGCAACACAGAAATCTTTGATAAGTTTCAAGCAGTTAAGAAAATTAATACTTATCATTATTTTCCTATGTTATTAACTGCTTTCCCAGCTTAGTAGCATGAATCTCATTGTCTAGAGAATGCTTGAAGAAAAATGCATACCGATTAAATGTCACATCTCATCAAAACAATATGTTAAATAATCCTTGTTACTTTAGCAAAAATTTCAACAGCAGAGTGGTATCTGTATATTTATTTATTCATTTGGAAATTTAGAATTTTCCTTCTTTGTGACATAGACTTTTAAAAAAATCTCTGCAGGCCAGTGACATATCAGGCATATCGGGAATGTACTCTGGAGACCACAGTTCATGCCAGCGGCTGGAATAAGGTATTAACCAAACTACCTTTTATTTTACAAGATTTTAGTGTGTTAATTATAAGGGCAATATGAATTTCTAGCATCATATAAGAAAAACCTACTAGAGCTTATTATTCAATGCATAAGTCCAATTGTATTAAGTACATTTTTAAAATTAATTTTTGGGTTAGTACTGCAAGGTTCTGCTTGGGTGAAAAATGTGTGTCCCAAATATAACCCTTCTTTCCTGAATTCCCCGTCATTTCTTAATTTTTCTGTGTTAGACATGACTTTTATCTCCAGGTGGTTTTTTGTTAACGTGTATGTCTTGGGGCTTCATTTAGGAGACAGCTTCTTCTGATTCTCTTAAACGAATAGCATTTGTGTTATATAGCTCATGAAGTATCTCATGTCACATCTCATTTGATCATCACAACTGTTCTTTGCAGAAGGCAGAATAGATTTTATTGGCATTTGTTATTTATATAATTAGGTTCCGTGAATAGAGAAAAAGAACGACTTGTCTAGGACTTCTTGACTAGTAAATATTGGAACAAACACTAAAGCTAAGATCTTATAATTCTAGCTTCAGTGCTTTTCCATTGTGCCATACCCTTATCCATTATCTTATTATCTACTTATCACCTCAAAAAGACAGAGTCTGAGGGGATGCAGTATAGGGTAACTCAATTATGAGGAAAAAGTATGGCCATTACTGATTTAATGCTAGGGATGAAAAAGTTTAGTAGAATTATTTTTCAAATAGCCAGCTCTATTTAGAATGGCTTTTGATATGTTAGGCCATGTGATCTTATGTACCTAATTGATATATGTTGTTTTGCTTAATGCAGACTTTGGAGGTATTATAGCATAATGAGCATTATAGTCTTTGTAATCAGACTTGTTTCAAATTCCAGCTTTGCCAAGGACTAGGTGTGTGTCTTTTGACAGTTTAATTAAACTCTTTAAATCTTAGGTTTTTTTACTATGTGAAATGGGGTTGATAATAGTAACCTTATACGTTTTTCTGGAATTTTAAATGACATATATGATATGTCTGTGATATGTCTAGACATATATATGTCTGGCACCATAGTTAGTACTTAATAAACAGCTGCTATTATGTTAGCTTTAACACATGGGAGGACCTTGTTCCCATGTCACTATTATAGAATTTTACTGTTATTTAGCTATAAATAATTTGTAAAAATATTTTACTATTTGTTTCATTTGTTTTCTTGGAATAAAGAAACAAATCATAAGGACATTTGAAAGATTTTATAAATAAAATAGATTTGGTTATATTTCTCAATATAGCCAACAAATACGTAGATATATATAATATTACTAGCCTTCTCCTGTTTTATGTTTGCCTTACTGTCTAGTGATTGTTATAATCAACACTTATATGCCCCCTTCCCTCTGTAGGGTTAGCATACAAAAATCTGGGTAAACTTCAGTATTCACTCTCTCTTCACTCTTCTTTTTGTTCCATTCCCTCCTTCATTTTAGTTCCTCATCTGGACCAACTGTTGATCTTCAAGGCTGTGGCTTGAGTACCTCATATAAATGAGATGTGCCAAGTAGACTATTACTTGCTCTGCCTCCTCTCACTGCCAGTCAAACTCAGTTTGACTAATATGAAGCAGCTAGCTCATGTCTTACATTTCATGTGAAGGTTTGCAAAATTCTTATATAAGGTTGTTATATGACTATAGCTGCTGGCAGGTAAATGAAGTTAAGTGAAATGTTCATCAGTGAGAAGAGAAAAAAATGTTTACAAAGCCTGCCAGGTTAGGGGTGAATTAGATATCAGTCATTTCATCTGTAAAGAGATTTATTTATTTTATTTAAATATTTATTTTTTACTGTCCCTATAAAGGGATTTTAAAAGCATTGTGGAATATAAATATATCAAAAGAAGTGGAGGTAAAAGCTGGTCGTAAACTTATATTAATAGTATGATCTTTTAAAGGAGTGCACATTTATAAATGCAGACTATATAGTATGTCTAGAAATAATTGAAATATGTGTCGAACATTATATAATATGTAGTAGTTATCACAGGATTACAGGTGATTTTCTTTTTCCTCATGAAGTTTATTTTTTCCTATGTACTTAACTGCTTATAGGAAAATAAGAAGAAAGTGACTATCCCAGAAAAAAAACTAGCTAGAAAGTTAGTAAGGAACTACATGATGTTCATAGTATGCTAAACTCACTTTAGAAAATGATAGCAAAGATAAATGAAATTTTTGCCTCACTTAAATTTTAGTGACATGTTAGATCACTAATCTTTTGAAATATTTGTTATTAAACTTTCTAGAATACACAAAACAGAGAGAATAGTTTAGCAAACTCCATGAATATGCATCTTTCAGATTCAACAGTTACTGGTATATGGCTGATCATGTTTCATCTATTCCCCATACACCTTTCCTACTAGATTATTTTGAAGCAAACCCTAGACATCATATCATTTCATTCATAAATGCATTAGTATGTTTTTCCAAGGGTAATGAATTCCTTTTTTTTAAACCACCTGATAATACCAATATCACATCTCAAAATATTAACAGTAATTCTAATATTGTCACATCGTTCAGTATTCAGATTTTCCCAGTTATCTCATAAATGCATTTTTATAAGGTGATTTTTTTAGATCAAGACTCATTTGATAGGTTGAGATTGCATTTGGTTGAGATCTCGAGCCTCTCTCTTTTTTTTAAATTGAATTATAATTCTCTAATTTACTTATGAGTTATTCATCCAGTAATTTTCCTTCCTCCTGGATTTTATTGACTGCCTCAGTGAGATGTCATTTAGCGTGTGTGTTAGTATCTATATTTCCTTTTCCTTGGTAGGTAGATCTAGAAACCTAATCAGATTTAGATTGGTGATGTTCTCTATTTTCTGTTGCATCATAGTAGATGATATATAATGCCCTGTTGTCTCTGAAATTTTATTTTGAAGCTGATGGGTCAAACCTAATCAGTGAATTAAATGCAGATCAATTTTGTGGGGTGTGACTTCTACTAGAAGGTACAGAAAGTATAGAAGGGTTAAATAGTATATAGAGTGCTGAAATATGTAATTCATTATTACGAAATATCCATTCTATTGAAAGGGACCCTGGAAGCTATAAATTGATATAGTTCATTTCTATACCAGGCAGTTTCATATAGGATAACTTGGTTAACTAAGTCTAACCTACTGAAGAAAGAGGCCACATGGTCCATATGAGGAGACAGCAGTGGAGGTAGTCCTTTTTGATGGCCAAAAGAACCTTTCCACTGCAGAACTTATTAAAGAAAAAAGTAATTTATATGCATTGTGGGGATTACTCTTAACCAGTACAGAATGGTTTACAGAAAAGAATTCAAAGATTAAGATTATTTGGTTACTTTTTAGTTCTGGAGATATGAACAGTGGGACCTTCTAGGAAGGGGACTTGGGGACCTAGTTTTGTTTTAGCAATTAAAAATAAACGTAAAATGGAAGATGAAGCATAAAAAGTATTTCCAAGGTCTTGGAGAGCTGTTGTAGAGCTAACTCATAAACCTTTGCAGGTGATTATAAAAATTATTTAAAGGCAATCTACCAGTTAAGCTGGTAGTAGTCATTTAATGTGTGAGGAATATAGGGGGCAGAGGGGAATGAATTACCGAACATAAAATTACAAGAGTATTATCAATCAAATAGAGAAAGTTAGTCCTGTAAAATTTAATTTCTGCTCTCTGGTTACTGGCGAAGATTCAGAAAAGAAAAACTTAAATGATCAAAGTCATGAAGAAATTACCATATGAAGAACAGACTAAAAGTTGAATAGATTTCAGCCTAAAAATATAGTGGTTGAGAGGGAATATGATAAAAGACTAAAAGGCAGTAGTGAGAGAGGATTACAGATTTATCTCTAGTAAAATTTGAGCATCTACTTTTTGATACATGAAAGAAGGTAACTTTGGAACAAATGAAATTATAATTTTATATAGCAAATACAAAATGTTTGCAGTTCATTTCCCAAAGAGTCTATAGAGCCTAAACATGAATAACATTAAAATGTTGCATATTAGTAGATTAGTAGATTGACAAACTTTCACTTACTGTTCCTGCTAAGACAAAATCCTGGGGCTAGGTGAAAGTTTTGAGGGGGACAGGGGGAATTTGGTTTTAGTAGTATGGCAGATTTCCTAGCTGTGGAAAAAAGACTCATTTCATGTGTTTATTTATGCCTACAAGAACTGGGGTATAAGCCAGAGGTGCGGGGGTGAGAGGATTCACCAGAGACAGTGGGGAGCAGAATAGGCAGATCTATTGAAATATACTGCTGAGGGGAGCAGCAGGCGAGGCAGAAGTCTGCTGCGCCATGTGGGTAGCTCCCTGGCTGGCGGGGGATTGAACTCGTGCTTCAGTGGCTGGCAATAGCTTGATAGCACTGTCTTTAACTCCTGCACCACCAGGGAGACCCCCATTTCATATTCTTTAAAGACCTCAACCTCTTCATGAGTATTCAGAAGTTTTTAATATCTTCTGGACTACAGTTCTTTTTAGGATATAAAAAAATGAGGATACATAGTTACTGTATTTCTTTCAGATTTTGGTATAGATTCCTGCAGGGCTGCTTAAAAACCAAAGAATATTATTATGAACATAAAGTCATTGTCTTTTCTGTTTGTAATATCTCAGTTGTAATATCTCAGTTATTACCTTGGCAATTCAGTAACAAGGAATCAGACTTGGCTTAATTTCCTTTAGCTTTCCTTTTCCAGTCGTGTGGAGACCTTTTTTATGTTTTATACGGAAGAGATTGCACCCAGATGGTTATACTTAGTTTTTTCAATATGCTGTTATTTTTTAGAAGGCAAATGACCCTAGTTTATGTCATATATTTAATGACTTTTACAAGATTTTAAAAGTCCTAATTTTCAGATAGGTATTAAAAGCACATGGTACAAAACACAAAATGTACAGAAAGATATAACGTTGAAAGTATTTTCTCATCCTTATTGCAGGCTGCTTAGTTTCCTCTCATCAGACAACCACTATTACTAGGGGCTTTTTTGTATATTTTTCCAGGTATACTATAGGATTATGCAAACGTGTATATGTCATGCTTTTTATTTATTTTTTGATGACACTATTGTACAACACTGCATTATCTTGCTCTTTTCACTTAAAGTAAATCTTGATGTTTGGGCACTGAACAATTTGATTCTTTTGAAACTGTGATGTTGTCAGAATTTATTTAACTGGACCCTGCTGGATTGTTTCCATTCTTTTGCTTATAAATAATGCTTCTATGAACTTCCGTATACATATGTTGTTTCTCTGTCTCTCACATACACACACACACGAACCCATTTTTTTCATATAGTACTTATTTCTGCCACCTAATGAAACATAAGCAAAAATTCTAGTAGGGGGTCAACGTTTATTTCTTATAATAACAAATGGATTCTATAATGATGCCTCTAAGTATAATTTTCTAGTAGTTGAACAGAAAATGAATTATAAGAATTTCAGTTTGTTTTTTTACTCTCTCATCTTTGCATTGAAGATTTTGGTGCCTCTGGTTTTGCTACAACAAATGCTTTTGGAGTTGACCAGACGTGGTCAAGAACCTTTGCATTCATTGCTGCAGTTTGGTGTGACGTATCTGGAGGACTGTGCAGCAGAGTACATCATTCAGCAAGGTGGCTGGGTATGAGTTGTGATTTTTTTAAAAAATATTTTCTTTTAAAAAAATTAAGAAAAATCTGATTATGGAATTGAGGCTGCTGGGGTGGGGGGAGGCTGACGGTGGGAAGCAAAGCGGGGTGGGAGCCCAATTATCTATGGTAGAGAATTATGGGTGTTTTGGTGGTGGGTGTGGTATGGTTACTAAAATCTGAAGAGGCGTGGACCTATACATCTAAATCACTTATAGTGTGGTGACCAGTGTTAACTCAATGAAAAATATTACAATTTATAAAAAGCATTTAAGGTAAATAAATAAAAAATTAAGGCCCCCATGGTTGTGTTTTTAAAAGTATAGGTTTGATATCAATATTGAATGACAAACTAATGGAGAAACTATCCATACAGTTTTAAGTTAAATTACTAAGATTATATTTATAGTGAATTAACATGTGATATTTTAAAGCAGTTCCTATGAAAATTTCATACTAATATTTAAATGAGGGATGAGGAATAATAAAATGTACACCTGTGCATCCCCATCGAAGAACACAGCCAACATTTTTATATCTCCTTATGTGCTCCTAGATTTCAGCATGGTCCTACCTACTTCACAAAGATAACTTCTGTTCTGAATTTTTTTTTAAAGATTTATTTTTATTTATACAAGAACCGGGTTATAGTCCAGATGCACAGGAGGGTGAGAGGATTCACCAGAGACAGAGCAGGGAAAGAAACAGGCAGACTGATGAAATACACTGCTGAGGGGAGCAGCGGGCAAGACAGGAGAGGTCTGCCACGCCATGTGGGTATCTCCACAGCTGGCCAGGATCGAACCTGCGCTGCAGAAGCTGTGGACAGCTTAACAGTGCGGCGCTCAACTGCCTGCGCCACCAGGGAGGCCCCTGAATTTTGTTTTTTTATTATAGTTTTTATACACACACATACCCTTAGATAAAATACTATTTTGTTTGTTTTGAACTTTAATTATATAGTATTATACTATGTGTTCTTCTCTAATTAGCTTTTTTTCACTTAATCTTAGGTTTTTGAGATTCACCTTGGTCTTTGTTTACCAGTCTTTTGTTCATTATTTCTCCCCTACGAACTCTTTTTGGATTTTTTTCCCTATCCATCTCCCTCTTCTCTCTATTCTCCCTACCCCCCATGAAATTTTAAACTACAGTATAAGTCTACTAATGTACTGTAGCCCTTTGGAGGGCACCAGTCATTGTAATATCTAAGATTTCATACAGCTACGAAACCAATTTTCACCCTCTTAATTGTCCCCATTGAGAATAATGCATGATCTCGATTGCTGTGTTGGCTGATGTTTGGTACATTCAAATCTTCTGTTATGATGGCAGATTTTGAGTTTCCTCCTTAGTTCTGTCAATTTGGAGATTGTTTTTCCTCAGGTTATTTTGTTGGATGACTACAAGTTACAATTATTGAATACTCTTGGCAACTTGAAACTTTTGGCATGGTCTTTGTCCCTAAAAATGTTTTTTTGTCTTAAAGTCTTTGTCTAAAGCTTTATAGTAGCAATTTTTTCATCCTGGTATTTGCCTCTGTATCTTACTTCATCATTTTATTTACCTCAGCTTTTCTTGTACAGTTTATTGAATACTTATAATATACCATGCTCTGTTTCAGATTCTGAGTAGACAGTTATAAACAGAAAATATCCTTGACCCCATGGAGCTTACATTTTAATTGAGGAAGATAAACATAATTAAGGTACATAGTATATCAGGTGTTGGTATATTCTATGAAGAAAAAGAGAGCAGGGAAGACATATAGGATGTAGTTAAAGTTTGTAATGTGGTACAGCCCCACTGACATTCGAATTACAATTGAGCAAAGATTTATTTCTCCTGTTTTATCTCACAGTTCATTGTTCTCGTCTCTCTCTTTTCTTTTCACTCTGTTTTTCCCTGGGAATTTCTCTTCCTTTCTTGTAGCCCAGAAATGGTTTTTAAACTGTGTTTGTTGTAATTCACCGGACTTTTAGTGATTTTGTAGTGAGAATAGTTTTTATAAACTATAGCACACATTATTGCTTTTTAGCCACTGTGCAGCTAGGAGTTTGAGTTTAAAGAAAGAGAAAAGTGGAATTTAATGCGGATACTAGTATGGAACATACTAAGTTTAGAAGCTTGGTAAATATTTAGGGAATGAAATGCTGAGCATTTGTCTTAGGAAAATAATATTTTAAATCTGTTCTTTAAAATAAGAACTATGAGAATTTATTATTGCTTTTTTTCTTCCTATTTTAGTACATTTAAAATTATCTTGGTGAGTGTAGTATATGGTTTGTGTGAGAGCTGGGGGATGCTGCAGGTTCGTTTCCACTTATCCTATACGGTGCTTTACAACCAAGGGGAAAGACCCAGGGGATGTTATATATTCCCTCCTTGATTTTTAGTTTTATTGTGATGGAGTGCTTTGAAGTTTGTTGATGATTACAATTTGTTACAGAGAAAGTATTTTTTATTAATTTAAAAACCTATGTGCAGCCGGACTTGGAGGCTAATATATATATATATATATATATATATAAAATAAAATGTATGTGCAAAGAATAAGAGCAGTAATATAAATAACTAGTTTGCTTATAGTTATTTTTTAGAAGATTTTATTTATTTTTGTGTAGAAACTGGGGTGTAGGCCAGAGGTGCAGGGGGTGAGAGGATTCACCAGAGACAAAGTGGGGATCAGAACAGGTTGATCTACTGAGATACACTGCTGAGGGGAGTAGTGGGTGAGACAGGAGAGGTCTGCTGTGCCATGTGGGTCAGCTCCCTGGTGGGGATTGAACTCAGGCCATAGTGGTGATAGTGCTGAGAGTTAACCCTTAGGCTCAGCCCATGCTTACATTTAAAGTATACTTTTCTTTCTAAATTTGTATGCCCAATCTGCATTTCACATTGGCAAGGGTAAGTGTTATGTATGTGTGTTTAAAATGTAGAGATTGCTTTTATGACTGATTGGTGAAAATACATTCTGGTAGTGTCAACATGAATCACCTTTAAAGTACTTTGTATTAAATATTCACAGCTCTTAAAACTGTCACTAACCTTCCTGAGGAGAATTATTTGACTCATAAGTTCCATGTCTGTTATGTAAGGCACCCACCCTTCCTGAAGAGAAGCATTTAGCTACATGATGTTACCTGTCTGGTGTCTGTTATGTAAAGTCAGCTGTGTGATTTCTACAGGTAATGTGTCATCTATCAGCCACTTGAATAAGGTGAAACTGCCTAGCTGCCAACATGGAATGAGCTTTAAAAACCTACAGAAAAGGGAAAGGTGATGGCAGCCATATTCTGTTGGATGAATGACAATGTGGCATGTAGTTCTTTAGGAAAAGGCAAGGTTTTGGTCCATAGATTTGCAAAGAGAAAAATAATATTCTCTGAATTATAAAGAGAAATAGCAATGATAAATGCCTTTTGGAGCTCTGCACATAGTTTAGTACTTAGTACTTTTTCTGTGACCTATGTTTTGTGATAGTTTTTGTCTTAGTATATTTGAGATGATTTTCAGTACTAGTATTGAGAATACTTACTAAGGTTTAGAATTCATATGACCAGTTTGCTTTTTAAAAAAGACATTCATTTTTGGAGCAAACAATATCAATATACGTAAAGAAAGTGTTTCACAAGATTCAATACCCATTTATGATTAAAAACTTAATATGAAAATGGAGGGGACCTACCTCAACTTAATAAAGGCCATATATCACAAACCAACAGAAAATGTCATACTTCATAGTGAAAAACTGAAAGCGTTTAAGATCAAGAACAAGACAAGGATGCCCACTGCCACCACTTCTGTTTTATTTAGTCTTAGAGGTTTTAACTAGAGCAGTCTGGCAACAGGAAATAAAAGGAATCCAGATTAGAAAAGAAAATGTGAGGGCCTCCCCTGGTGGCGCAGCGATTGAGCTCTGGGCTGTGAAGCTGCCCGCAGCCTCTGTAGCACGGGTTCCATCCCCGGCCGCCAGTGAGGGTCCCACATGGTGCGCAGACCCCTCCTGCCACGCCTGCTGCTCCCCTCAGCAGTGTATTCTGTCAGTCTGCCAGTTCTGTTCCCTGCTCTGGCTCTGGGGAATTCTCTCACCCTCCCGCACTTCTGACTGTACCCAGTGCTTGTATATATAAATAAATAAATCTTTAAAAAAAAAAAGAAAACGTGAAACTACCATTATTTGCATGCAATATAATAATTTCTATAGAAAGCCCTAAATGCTCCACCAGAAGGTTTTTGGAAACCGTAAGTGAATACAGCAAAGTGGCAGGTTACAAAATTAACATAAAAAACTCTATTGCGATTTTATAGACAATCAATGAGAAGAAAATGAAATGAAGAAAATAATTCTATTCACAATTGTTTCAAAAAGAATAAAAACCTTGGCATTAACCTAACCACTATTTCATCATACAAAAAAACTTCAAAGTGTCATCAAAGGATATAGGTCATGACATAGGGAGAGGGAAAGAAATTCCATGCTAATAGTTGGGGAGACTCAATGTAGGCAAAGTGAACATTGTTCCAAAAGTGATTAATTCCCATGAAAATATCAATGATATTCTTCAAAGAAATTGTATAGAAAATACAAACATTGGTATGGAATACAAGGCCTTGAATAGCAAAAGCAATCCTGAGGGGGAAAAAAAAAAGAGAGAAACCAAGGCATCACATTACCTGACTTTATGCTAAAAAAATAGTAATTAAAACAATATGCTGTTAGCAGAAAAATAGACACATGAACCAATGGAACAACTTTGCAAGCCCAGAAATAAACCCACGTTTATAACAATACTTAAGGAGCCAGGACAATACGATGGGGAAAGGAGAGTCTCTAACAAATGGTGCTGGGAAGACTGAAAGGCCACAAGTAAAAGAATAAAGCTGGATCGCTCTCACTCCACACACAAAGATAAATTCTAAATAGATTGAAGACTTAAGCATACCGCAACAATTAAATATATAGAAGAAAACATTGGCAATACATTTTATG